TAAGCCGCGTTTGTGTAAATGGGACAAACTGAATGTTGCAAACCAGGTGAGAGAGTTCTTGAGCCTAAAAGCTCCAGCTGAATTTCCAGGCCAAGTTATCGCCCGCATCTGAAGAAGCGCTCTGTTTCCTTTATGGATTACGTGATATGGACTCGCAGATTCGACGAGGATATGCCGCCAGACGTGGTCACTGTACTGTTGGACCCGAACAGGACCGATTCTTCTACAACCCGGTAAGTTAAGCGTAGCCATATTGGAGAAGAAAAACGTCGTCAACAATCTCACTTCATCACTATGACGGCATCTGACGATTTTGGGGCACACAAGTGGCAACTTTTTTTTTGCAGATTTGCGATTTTTCCGATGTGGCCCCTAACGGCGAGCTGTCACAGTCGATTCGAGGCGATATTGCAATGGCCGTCGATTGGGCTGAACAAGTGCCGTCCTTCCACCTTCTTTCGCCTACGTTACGGGTAAGTCGTCGAAAAACTAGTGCTAGTTCAAGTAGGGACCAATTTTTCATTCGGAGGTAAACTGAAGGTCCTTCACTCCCATCGCCCTGGCCATTGCCGTCCATACTTTCACTTACTTCTTTATTCATTGAGGAGAAGTGAGTAAATAGGCATCCCCTCCGTTTAGGACGGCAAAAGGTTATAATCGAGCATTTGAGGGAACTGCTAAGTGGCTGAGAGGTAACCCTCTACTGCTTAAAATGAAACAGCGAATCAGCCCGAGTCAGCCGAGCATGGGAACCTACCCAGACTTGGTATTTGGCATCGCTCATGTATGGAAGGAAGAGGAATATTTTGAACTAGCGAAGTCCATTGGGTAAAGTCTTCCGGCGTTTATCGATTCTGGTTTATGGATTTTGGTATCCATTTAGACAAATCTGCTACGATAAACCTGTACCGGGAGGATAGAAAGCTCTGTTGCCTTGAGCGGGTATTATTTTGCGATTCTATCCCCGGATCATGCGTGTGGTAGTGCTCCGCTTCCCGCTACCGCACCCACTTTCACTACCTGCGCGCGAAATCGATAACCTATGTTGAAGCATTCATTATAACCCTTTTCCAGCGTCACCTTCTACATCGATTCTGTCTGATGTTTGTTACCATAGAACACGGACTGTTCACTGCACAGATGCCAGCTCACGATAATGTCTGGTTTCTGTCGGATCGCACATGTCTTGTGCGACATGTAGAAGCGATTCCTGAAGAAATCAAGCTCCACCTTACACCAAAAACCACCAAAGCACAAGAGTAAGTGAATTTCAGTTGGATGAGTCGATTGTCCCCTTACTTTCCGATGGTTTAGGTTACTTTACCCACTGACCTCCTTACTGATCGATGAAATCGCACAACCGTTACGGAAACTTCGACCAACACCTGAAGAAATAGCCGCGTTGAAAGTGCTCATGTTAATGAGTAGGTTGCCGTTTCTGCGCACGCGCGTAAAATCGATAACCATAACTGAAAATGCCAGGGAACATTTTGATCAATTAATGACATGAGGAGTTTTTGGAAAAAAAAACCAGGATTGCAAGCCATTGTCACATGAGTGGGTTTGTTTGAGCAGCTAACAAAATATAAGCCGCGTTTGTGTAAATGGGACAAACTGAATGTTGCAAACCAGGTCAGATACTTCTTGAGCCTAAAAGCTCCAGCTGAATTTCTAGGCCAAGTTATCGCCCGCATCTGAAGAAGCGCTCTGTTTCCTTTATG